TCCACGGCCTCATTGTTGGAGACAAATCAGTTCAGGTCACTCTCACTCTGTTTTGTTTATTTGCACGTTATTGAATTGGCGGTGGTTTTTACCACTCTTATGTAACTCCGATTGCAGAGATCGGGAAGCGTTCCTGGCGTGGGATTGGTGCATGCACCGCTTGCATTGTTACCAGCGCCGTTTCCAGAAAAAGAGTGGAGAGAAGCCTCTGAGTTGGCTCCTATTTTCAATCACCTTGTTCATCGGGTAAGCTCCGATGCCACGTTTCTCCACGAATCACTCTTCAGGTGCGTTGTCTTCTACTGTTATTTTTTTAAATTTTTTTTATAAAAATAATATTTTCATAACTCATATTTTTAATTAAGTTTCACACTAAAACTTTTCAATGGAATCCAGCATTTTCACCGGAGATATTTTATTTTATTTTTATATCTTTTATTCCTAAACATATTCATTCCCACACATATATATAACTCATGCACTATATTAAATTTTAATGATCTAATTGATAAATTTTAAATTTTTAATGCACAGATTAAATTTATAAATTTTTAAAAATTATTCTATCTCATTTAATGGATAACATTTTTTCAAAAAAATTATAAACGGTTATACTTGGAGTATCTCTCCTTTATATATATATAGTGTCATGTTAAATTTAAAATAAATTATAAAGAAAATAGTGATACCTCTTCTTTTCCAGGGCGTTGGCTATATTTTTATTTATTTATTATAAATAATCTAGAGGAGTTACTTATTTTGTATTCAAATTGTTCAGTTGGTTTTACGGCATGAATTACTCTTTAAAAAATTATAGAAATCGAAGATGACACTTGATTGGACATTTTCTAATAACACGTGTGTTTTCCTTTCCATATAATATATATACACGAAAATAAATAAATTTTTTTATGTATAGATATAAATTTTAACTAAAAGGAACTACTTCGCTCTACATTTAATAAAAATAAAATAAAATAAAATAACAATAGCAGTTGTAAAATGTGAAAATTAGTTATATACAAAGCAGTTTAACAAAATAAACAAATAAAATAAGAGAAAGACATGAAATCCAATAAAAAAATTAAAAACATTTGCGATTGTAAATGTTAGGGAGTAAAATAATTCTAATAAAATGAAAATCAGTTAACGAAGTAGTTAGCTCTTTAAATAATAATAGTATAAATCTAACTAGATAAAAAAATATATACTCTATGCCTTGCATTTAATAAAAAAAAAATTAAAATAATAAGAGCAGTCATAAAACATGAAAATTAGTTATATCGAAAACAGTTAAATAAAATCAGTGAAAGACATGAAGTTAGTATAGATAGGTTTTACTTATTATAAGTGGTTTCCTTTCTTTCTTTCATTCCTTCTTTTTATTTTAAGTTTAGTTTATGCAATTTTGATTATATATGTCTCGTGTCTCTCTCTATTTCTAAATGCAGAACTAAGAAAGCGGATGAATTCACCTCTAGGATTTTGGATATTCATTCCAAGATGCTACAAATCAACAAAAAAGAGGTAAGTGTGTATTAGTATAGTACATTTGTAATGGAGCACGAACATATCTGTGTTTATTTTTGTTGTAAAATTTATTCTGAGTGTTAGAATAGTGGATTAAGCCTAACTCAACCCTACAAAACCGGCTTGTAAGGTGAGAGTTGCTTTCCACTTATACACTATTTAATTGTCTAATCTCTAGTCGATGTGGGACTTGAGTTTTTCCCAATACACCCCCTCACGTCCAGCACTATTGAGCTTGGTACGTGGATAAATGGTAGGTGACCCTTTTTTAATGATCTAGGATAGGCAGAACTTGGGTTTTTCCCAATACACCCCCTCATACCTATGAGGCATGCATCAATGGTGGGTGACCCATTTTTAAAGTGGATCTAAATGGCTCTGATACCATGTTAGAATAGTGGATTAAACCTAACTCAACCCTACAAAACCAGCTTGTAAGGTGAGGGTTGTTTTCCACTTATATATTATTCAATTGCCTAATCTCTTGTCGATGTGAGACTTGAGTTTTTCCCAGTACTGAGGAACTCATTTTGTGCTCATATTCTCACTGGGAGATAAAGTGTAATTGTTTTAGAAATTCCAACCAATGTATGTTTGTTGCAAAACATTTTATAGAAAACAAAAATCTTACATGTAATATTATCTTTACTCTTTTTGGTTTCCTCCTTTCTTGAAGAAAGGAGTAAAGGGGATTGACAGATATTGTTTTTTTTCTGCCGTAATTTAATAGGAAATACAATTGGGGCTGCATCGTTCAGATTATATGCTTGATGAAAAGACTAAATCACTTTTGCAAGTAGAACTGAACACTATTTCCTCTTCATTCGCCAGTCTTAGTAATCTTGTGACAGAACTTCATAGGTAAGTGTTACAGTAAATTAACATACTATATATGCTATCATCTCTAACTTATGATGTTTTGAGAGATCTTTGTTTCATTGCAGTTATGGGTTTTTGATTTTGTGTACGTTAATTAAATATGTGAACTCTCATTGTTCATTGATACTTTTAACATACACTCGCTTTCTTTTCTATTTACCTAGAAGTCTAGTTGAGTTTGTTGACTGTACGTGTGTGAATTCTGCCAACTTAAATCCCATTTTTTATCTCATCTGTCCTTTTATTTCTCTCCCATGTTTTGTCATATTTATTATTTTTTATCCTATTTTATTTTTATTATATATATCTACCTTTTTTACCCATGACCTCGGATTAAAAATGGGGTGAATGTTTATAGTTATTATATTTTGTTTAAGAAAATATGAAAGGTGTAACACCCTTCTTTCTCATTCCTTTATGCAAAAATCCCAACTTCTGTTTTGAATTAACGTCCGATCTGACCCTCTGGCCCACTGCTCAGCCACGTCCTTTGCTAACTTGTTCACCTATGCAGCTCGTTATTGACTTTGCTCAGTGTACACTGTACACATTTGTTCAATTATCGTTTTTTTTTCTGAATAAATTGCAATTTTTTTTTTCTTTTAGTTTGGATAATATCTTATTTTAGACTCTTAAGTTTTTTTTATCTAATTAAAATCCTCTATTTTAAAAATTAAACAAATTTGATCCCATTGATTTTCAAATTCTCTTTTATTTATATATTTGTATAAGGTCTAAATCATTAAAAAGTTATTTATGTTGCAGCTACGGTATTTACTATTTAATGTGTAAAAAGTTACAAAATAGAGACACGAGGTTTAAAATATGTAAAATGAATTGTTTGCATAAACATAAAAATATAGAATTTTTAGGTATAAAAACTAAAACAAAAAGTTGACACATGTACAGGAACGAAATTAATAATTAACCCTAAAAATTATTTATCTTGCATATATATCTATACTCTTTTATTTAACAGCTAACTGTTGTTCTGCAATAGCCGATTTGGGGTTGTTCACTTTGTTGTGCTATAAAGGACAAATAACTATGCTTGAAGTTATTCATATGAACTCTGTTGGTAATATATTTTCGTTTTAAGAAAATTTCTTTTGAAGAAATATCTTTATATTTGTTGGTCATTTTCTAGATACATACTTTCTCGTCATGGAAAATTGCTTGGACTAGATTCCAAAAGGATTCTTGCAAACAGTGCTCTCGATCAGTATGCAGAAGCCTTGGCTAAAGCTTGGAGTGAGTATAATAACCCTAGGTCAGTTCAGAGAAAAAATAATTCCCTTATGTTTTTGGTTCACTGCTATATTTTCTAATATGTATCCACATGCAGGGCTGTGATTATGATTGTGGTTCAGGCTGAGGAACGAAACATGTATGACCAGCATTTAGTTTCTGCAGTTCTAAGTGAAAGATATCCTTTTCTAATGAAAGATATCATTTATTATTAATTACAATAATACAAAAGGAAAAACGTTCATTTTATTCCCACACCCATTTATTTGTATAGTAACTTGTTCTACTAAATGTGATACCAAAGAATATTAAGAGATGCTTAATGCTTTTATTTATGTAAATAAAACTATTGTAGTTTTTAAATATTTGGTACATATTTTTGGGTTGTTGTTGTTGTCCTTAATGTTATGACACGTATAATATTACAACTATACGGAAAACGTTGGCAGAAGTTGATCAACAAGGGGAAATTCTACCAGATGGAACTTTTTCTGTGTATGTAGCCTTTACCCATAAAAGAATTAACTTTCAGCTATGAGCTTGTGGCTTAATTATATTTTGGGTCTTTTTTAATACAAGATTAGCGATTTTTTTAGAGTTATTCTATCAAAAATAATAAAAAATAATAATTTTTTTTAAACTTATATCCAATCAGACTTAATATTTCTGACAGTAGAAAAGTATTTGTTGGCACTTGCAGGGATGGAGAAGCAGTTTCAGTAATTTATTTCCGGGCTGGCTATACACCAGCTGACTATCCTTCCGAATCAGTGAGTGACTTGAAATCAGTTTATTTCTGTTCATAAAAACCGTGTTTTTACAATGTATAGAAACGTCTGATTCGTTTTCTATTTACTTGAGAATTAGGAGGGTTAGGCCACTGAATCTGGCATGACCAAAAAGAGTGTCTCTCACTCAGTGTTATGAAATGGTACTATATTGTCAATTAATATTTAATTAAGCTATCTGCTAACTAAACTTCTTTTAGGATTTACATGATAAAAGGTGTTATAGAGTACCTATGAAATGAAGTCAATCTGGCCAGAGGCCATCTTTTGTAACTCATTAGGCACCTATTTAGACCAGGAATGCTATTTCATATTTTTTCATTAAAAAAAATTGGTGCAATTTCTGAAATAAGGTAAAGTAGAAGTAGATCATCGAGTGTGTGAGCCACCCCGTCGTAGCTTTATACTTAGCGTTTTGGGCCCTACGAACAATAGTTTTTGGTTCATGATATATACACCTTTTTTTTTATAAGTATACCTCCTATTTAAAAAAATAATTAAAATTTTAATTTTTTTTTATTTTTAATTTTTTAATTTTATATTCACAACATTTAATTTATTACTTTTTTTCACACATCTTTCTTTCTTTTTTTAATTTTTACATGCACCTCCTTATCTTTCTTTCATCCCACCTATTTTGCTAGCATGTGAAAAGTAAAACAGAAAAAAAAAGTGTAAAAAAGAAGAAGAAAGTAACAAATTATTAGAGGTGTAAATTAGAAGAAAAAAACTAGAATATTTTATAATTTTTTTTAAAAAATAAAGAAAGTATACTTATAAAAAAAAAGATATATATATATATATATATCTTA